AGGCCTCCTCGAGCCGAAAGCCGAAAAAAGCGAAAAGCACTTTTTACAACTGAGTTGTGAGTTGAATTATCAGTCTTTCTTTTTTTTTCAAGACTTGATTTAATGTCACAGAAGAATACACATTTTTTAACTTACAATTATGGAAAACAAGCTTCCTTTCCCAACTACATATGAGGGAACTCTGATGGCAAGAAGCTGTGCTGCAATCCCAAAGGCTACCAGTTCCACCAGCTGTTCCACTGGAGAAGGATGGGTGATCTCTCAAGCGATTAACAGAAGAATATGCATTTTTAACTTATAACTATGGAAAATAAGCTTCCTTTTCCAACTGCATATTGGGATTCCTCCTCCTCCCATGTAATTGAACTATGTAACATATCATAACAAAATAAATGCAGAAGTATGTCAGAATTCTATTTGTATGCTATACATTAAAGAAATTTGCAAACATGATAATCACACTAAATGTTTGTGTATGATCAAGGCTCTTAAACCAATGTATTTGAGAACAAATCATCTTTATATGCAACATCAAATACGTAGATTACAGATAATGATAAACAGTTTTTCTTAAAAGTATAAATTCATCCCAATTTCATTTAGGGAGGAAAACTGCCCTTAAAAAAGCCAGAAATTACATTTTTATTTCTACTAACATCACTTCATTCATAATATGGAAAGGATTTCAGTTAAGATCTCAGACATTTGAAGATATAGATCACCTTTCCACAATACAGATTTAAAAAGCTTCAATGTGTGTCTCTGCACAAGTCCCTGTTAGCATTTACTCTTTCAGGATAAGGTAATGAAGTCTCACCTTATCAGTAAGGGAGTTACAATTAAAATCCATACCTGCAAAAGTCAATTACATATATACAAGAAAAAAGCATAGTGGAAGGACTGCAGCATGATATTATTTCCCTCCTGAGGTAGCATCATAATTTACTGCACTAATATGGAAAAGATAATTGGTTCTGAGAAGGATGTATATCTAACAAAAAACCCACTCAAAAGGTTCTGTTTCCTTAATATAAACTGTGAAAAACAATTGGGTTTTTTTTAAGATTTTAATGAAAGTTTATAAAGAACTTGGATTTCCATTCATTCATTGTTGTACATTTTTCTCCCTGTTCCCAGTACCCCTCTCCCCGCCCCAGTTTACCTTTGGAAAAAAGTTCTTTCATTGTTATACAGTCTCCCCCACCAATAACACTTTACTATGCAACTCTTATTCTGGACTCTTGTTATGCTAATAATACTTAATCATATATTCCTTTTATACAGTTCTCTCCCTTCTCTGTTTCAATGCCATGTATATTATTTATCTTCTCTTTTCTTAGTTTCCCCCCAACTCATCAGTCCTGTTCGATAACAGTGGCATTAGGCAGTATTTTCTTTCTGTGACTAAGATATTTCATTCAACAAAATGTCCTCCATGGTCTCCCATTCTGAATAATATTTCATAAATTCTTTGTTTTTCAGTGCTGCATATTATTCCATTGTGTGAATATACCACAGCCTCTCTATCCATTCATCTGTTAATGAGCACTTGGGCTGTTTCCAACTCTTTGCTATTTTGAACAAGACAGGAATAAACATGAGTGTGCCAGTATTGCTTGGGCGGTAGCTCTGGTTTCTTTAGGGTAAACTCTCAGTAGTGGACTTGCTGGGTCAAATGGTATTTCTATTTCCAACTTTTTGAGAAAGCACCATACTGCCTTCCAGAACAGTTGAACCTTTTTATACTTGCACCAGCAGTAAATAAGGGTTCCAGTTTCTCCACAACCTCACCAGCATTTGTTGCTTGCTGTTCTGTTAAATTTTACTATTCTGACTGGGATGAGATGATATCTCATAGTTGTTTTGATTGGCATCTCTCTTGGAGCTAGGTATTGCTTGTTGGCCATCTGAATGTCTTCTTCGGTAAAGCGTCTGTTCATATCCTGTGCCCATTTTGCAATTGGGTTGTTTACCTTTATCTTGTTGTGGCATTCGAGTATTCTATAAATTCTGGATATAAGTCCCTTATCAGACACGTCACTACCAAATATTTTTTCCCAGTCTATCGCTTCCGAAAGGTAACTCTTAAGAATATTTCAGAGAGAAGGTGGGATATAGTAGCCTGGAAAATGTGGAAGAAACCGAGGTCTACAGTGATTAAAAATTAAGCTCTTTATAATTTACCATTGTCATTGTGGTTAATGTCATCAAATACACATAGTGCTTCTACCTGCAACAGATGGTGGCATTGCACTGACAGTCACTAGCATGCTCTATTATGCCAGAAATTAAGGAATGGCATTGCTGTCACCATAAAAAAGAACATTTCAAGATCTATCTTGAAGTAAAATGCTGTAATAGGATACTATCCATAGGAAAAACTGTTAAAACTACTATTCAAACATATTCATCAATTGCTAACATCAAAGATAAAAAAGCACACAAGATTTCTACCAACTTTTGCAGTCTGAAACTGATCAAACATGGAATCAAGATGCATTAATAATAATCGGTGAAAAGAATATAAAAATTGGAAAC